AATATAATTGTACAAAGTTTTATTTAAATATTTTGACATCTTAAAAAAGTAAATCAGAGCTAAAAAAGTGCAAAAACACAGGCAAATTTGCCTGTGTTTTACTACAATCTAAGAGATATCTCAAAATTTTACTAGGGTAACCCCTGTCATGTAACTAAGTAAAAATGCTTCTCTCGCAATTTTACATAACCCTAGCTCAAATCCTAACTCTAACCCTAACTAATTTAAACTTATTAATTTGCTATAGGGGGTGCACTGCAGTGCATGGTGCAAAACATTAATAATTTCTAATTATTATATTATATAATTATTTATATTATAGTTTTACTAAAACACACCACTGGTGTTCAACACCAGTGTCAGAAAATAGATCAGAAGATCATGTGATTATATAAATAATTATATAATATAAGTAATTATGGTAATACTATTGCATACTACTGGTGTTCAACACCAGTGGTTTTGTATAACATAAAATTAAAAATAAACAAACTAAAATCAATTAAATATTATACTAGTATTAGTAGTTAGAGGTTAGAGTAAGAGGTTAGAGTAGAACAAAATATATAGTAAAATTTTGCAAAGAATTTTTTTATTAAAAGCCAAAAGATGGTTTTCTATATAAAATTTTGAATTATTAGCATTTTTTTTAAAAAAAACTACAAAATCAAAAATTTTATATTACACCTGATCTTAATGTTACACAGCAGCTATATAATTTAATTGGTGAAAACTTATTGTTGTGTTGAACACCAGTGGTGTGCAATACTAATACTGAAATTATTTATATTATATAATTATTATATTATATAATTATTTATATTATATAATTACTTATATTATATAATTATTTATATAATTACATGATCTTCCGATCTATTTTCCAACACTAGTGTTAAACACCAGTGGTGTGTTTTAGTAAAACTGAAATTTAAATACTGAATTATTAAGTATTTTAACAAAATAAAAGAATGAACTATAAAATTTCTCAAAATTTATCTAAAATTTATTAAATTTAATCAAAATTTATCTAAAATTTACTAAATTTAAGCTAAAATTTGCCTAAATTTTTTATTATTATCAGATAAAAATTCGAGTTTTTCAAACTAAAATTTTACGGGTCTCTGGGTTAGAGTTAGAGGTTAATATTAGATTAGAATTTATAATAAACAAGTATAAGTGGGTTTTAGGTGGTTAAATAGAAAGTTTTATTTTATTCTAATTGTGATTTGTGACAGTATTCGCTATCCAATGAATTTAGTATTAGGATCTACATAGTAATTAACAAATTGAATATGTTGTGAAACCAGAAATGTAACTTGAAGCAAGTACATACTATATGTATATATGATATGTTAAAAAAGTGTGACTTAGATGTTTAAAGCTAAAGCTATATAAATCTAAACTCTGCAATCACTAACCTATAATTCAGAAACCCTCAAGACTTCGATTTGGTAGGCAGAAAGAGACGAGAAGAGACTTGGTCTGAGTCTCAAAGTCTTTTCGAGTCATGCTATGGCATACTTGGCAATTCAAATAAGTATAAACCAAAATTATATTTCGAATATTGATTAAGATACTTAGGCTGAAAGATAATTATAGTTCTTTTCTTTAATTCAGGGTTTTGGTATTCCAAGCTTCGATATAATTGTTATCATTTTTAACAATCATCATGTGTAATATCACTGTAATTATGGCTGTGGAGATTGGTAAATTAATCTAATCTTATGTTATGGGTAAAAAATTGGTAGATCTGAGGCTGAATTTACTATTCCTGTATTTACGTCACGGGGTTATTATGTCACAAAGATAATTTAATTAATTGATAAATTGTTATTCTAATTTGTGCTAACAATGCATCTCAGATAATATAAGTGTATGCTTAAGGGTTTCAATTACTTCAATTCTTTATTTCTAAGAGTTGGGGAACTTAGGGACAAGGTTTTTAGAATTAAAAAACTTAGAGTTAATACTTCTACTCAGATTTCAAAGGTTAGACTCTATGGGGACTATATGACAAGGTAATGGTTTGTTTTACAATATTGGAACAGTTACAAGGTTAATTGTATGATTTATTAGGATCAAAAGAAAAAGATAAGTAACTTCTACTATTATGGCTTCGAAGTTATTGTGCTTGTGAGTTTTAAAACTCTGTAGAGTTATCCTTTATTGGTTGAAAAAAATGCTCCTTATATAATTGTTTTTATATATAGAAGAATTCTTTAAATGCTATGTTATTTTTGCTATTTAATAGATAACGAGAATAAAAACTTATTTTCGTTATCTAGTGGAATTTCTAATATCTATTGAATAACCAGAATTCTCAATAATTTGTACTACCTGTTCCAATAATTCAGAACTATTACCTACTATAACCCAAAAATAGGGATCGTCTAAAGCCTAGCATCTCATGAAACTACTCGAATTACAGGAGATTACAGAATATAATTAATCCTTTTTTTTTCAGGTATTTAAATTAAAAAAAAAAATCATATTGATAGAAATTTTAAATTCTATTTGGCTATTAGAGCTGTATGATATCTAGGATTTTTTGTGAGATAAAAAATTTAAGCCTATTGCTATACACTTTAAGATTTTTAAGAATTTTTCTCTAAGATTTTATACTAAAACTTAAGAATTTTTCTCTAAGATTTTATACTAAAACTTAAGAATTTTTTTCTTAAGATCTGATTTATATATATATATATATATAAAGATTCTTTTTTTTATTATCTTTTTTTGAATTTTTCTTACTTTCAAATATCACAAAGTATATGATTTTTTTTTAATCACAGTAAAGAGGCCAATATATATTGTATACTGGTATATATTTTTATTAATGAGTAATTTTTTTGTAAAAAATAAAGAAGTCGTATTTGTAAAAGAGGAAGAGGCCATACTTGAAAAGAAGGGTGTTGTATATGAGAAAAGCAAAAGTATAAAGGAAAATGAAAGTGAAGAGTTTGAGGAAAACAAAAGTATAGAATTTGAGAAAAACAAAAGTGTAGAGTTTGAGGAAAATGAAAGTGTAGAGTTTGAGGAAAATGAAAGTGTAGGGTTTGAGGAAAACGAAAGTTTAGAGTTTGAGTAAAACAAAAATATAGAGTTTGAAGAAAACAAAGCCATGTTTGAAGAAAATAGAAACACTATGCTTGAGAAAAACAGAGAGATTATACTTAAATTTTATATATTTCAATTCTTAACTACTAATGAAAAACATGAACTTCTCTTTAATGTTGGTAAACTATTTGAAGTTTCAATGCATGATTTTAATCAAGCATGGTGGCTGCTTATTTCAAATATTTGGTTCAGATTTAGCTATAAAAATCATGCTAATGGTAATTCATAGAAAGTTTTTGCATGCTGGCTTATAAAACATAATTATTCAAGTGGGCGAAAAAAAGGTATCCCTCTTGAAAAGTGTAGGAAGACAAAAATCCATCCTTCCAACCTGTGCTCTGCAAAAATTTGGGTGTTGCATTTTGTTGGGGTGTATAAAGTATAAATTAAATGATATAATAAAGTGAAATATTAAAGCATTCAGATGTAGTTCAAAAATTAGTGAAAAAAGAAGCAGTCAAGAATTACTTGCCACTCATCATTGTGAGTGCGATTAAAGACTATGCAACCAGAAAGCTAGATTTGGGTGCAAGTGTTAAAAAGTTAAAATGAAAAGAGGTTTCAAACATTAAGCAAAAAGTATATGAAGCACAAAAAAATAAAAACTTTGGGAGTAATATAAATTTAGAATCTGATATTGCAGAATATATTCATTTTTTAAAAAATGAAGGTTGTGATCTTTTATAAGGGACAAAATTGACAAAAGAAATTTTCTTACAAAAAATTAATTATTTTGCGAACTAATTTGTAAAATAATTAATTTTTTGTAGAAGAATTTTTTTTGTCAATTTCATCCCTTTTTCCAGTATGTTTTATTTATTTATTTATTTTCTTAATTTATTTATTTTTTCATTTTACTTATTTTCTTAATTTATTTATTTTCTTATTTTATTAATTAAGAGTATAATATTGAACATTATAACAATGTGAGTCGATCTATATAAGGTATAGTTTTGTGCACCCACTCCAACTTATAAAGCTCAAACAAAATTGTTGGCTAACCCTGATCGATTCAACACACAAGACAAACAAATATAGCTGTTATCTATTTACTTTGTATATAAGGGATACATATGGGTGCTGGGGCATTGGTATCCACTTTTTTGTTAGTAAAGAAGATAGCGACACAGTCAGAGATATATTAAAAATTATTAAATGATTTGGATGTCACTGTAATCCCCAATATATTCTTGCTAACCAAAGCACATTGAGGCTAATAGCATTAAAAAAGTATTTTCTGGTCTTTGTGGTGGTGAGCAAGAGTGTGCCATAATTTTTTGTATAGTTCACTTAATGTGGGTATAGATGAGTAAAATATACAAAATCAAAGCTCGAAGCCTGATTATTCAGACAATGCATAAAACTACAAAAATTGGTTATAAGGAGCTTATTCAGTAAGCAATTTGTACATGTCAAGTCCCTGGTATAAAAAACTACATTATATGAAATTACATAAAGAATTTGAATTAATGGGCTCTCTAGGCATAGCAACATTTACTTCTTCTATTGCAAGTACCTTTAACCAATCCTCTAGAGTTCTATCATAGTGATCTAAAACAGATGTCATCATCTAATCATAGTATTATAGGTATAATACAAAAATCAGGCTTTAAATTTTTATTTTTTAATATAAAAAATAGTTTTTTATTTATAAAATATTTATTTTATTTATTTATTTATTTATTTTATATAAAAAAACTTTTTTCATATAAGAAATATTTTAAATAAAATACATTTTCATTATAAAATATTACATTATTAATTTCACTATTTACAAAAATAAAATTTATCAATTTACTTTTATTAAGTGCTTATTGCTCTGGATGCCAAATGCTTAATCTTAGAAGTACAGCCTTCAAATTCTGAATTAAACAGAATTCTTTTGTTGGAGTTGACAATGAAATTCTTAGTGAGATTTACAAGTTCCCCTATTCTATCTAGCAGTTAATTGTTACCAAAGCCTGCACTGTTGAAAAAAGAATTGAAAAAAGTAAAGAAATATCTGGCTTGACTTTGCTTAATTGTTTTTGCTTGTTTTTTTGCCAGTACTTACTTCCATGCTGACATATATTTCATGAACATATGTATAGTAATGAACTATTAACGTCAAGTGTGTGGGTGCAATTTCAGCAAATATTTGTAGAGAATAGTTTTGAAATATATGAATGTTGTGAAGTTGTGAAAATTGAAATATCTAAAAAAACAGAAGCTGATAAGGCCTTGGAGAATCAACGCTCAGTTGTAAACGAACTAATAGAAAGAACCAATAATGCATATTGGAGAGTTTAGGATAAAGGAAGCCCAAAAGAAAAATCAAAATTTATTAAAAATTTAAAAAGTTATTTAGAGCATATTTTAAATAAATAAAATAATAGCTTTTATGAATATATACGTATACCTGTTCATTCTCAGATCTATTCTTCTAACAACTGATCTCAGCGAGTATATGCTTAAGTTTTTTATAAATAAAAAAAACTGTATTTATTAAACATTAATTAAAAAAAAAAGGAACGCTATCCCTATAATACTGTATATATTAATATTACAGATAGTGGTAGTATAAAATATTAACGTTAAAAAAAAATTATTGTCAACTCTCCGGAAATAATTGTAACAACATGCGCTCCATGATTTCCTGTGATGTGGATAATTTCATGAAGTGCTAGGATTTAGACGACCCCCAAAAATAGAACTAGTAGAGTTCATTTACCCTCTCACAACATACATACATACATGCCCTCATGATCCTGGGTATTTCAAATTTAGGTTTCTTGGCATAATTTTTCAGATTGGCTCAATAACCCGAATCTAAAATCTGGACTGTAAAAATAATTTCGACAATATGATGGATATTAATAATGTTGGCTATATAGCTAATTGGGTTTATTGGTGATTTTAAAGATCTAAATGATCTTCAAATATAAATAGCTGAATTAACAATTACAAATAAAGGCCTTCTGAAGCAACTCTCTGACGATCACTTGGACCAATTTTTCTGCTAAAGAAAACAGTTTTGTTGGAGCGTTGCCTATACTAAGGTGTAGTAGGATAACATAGAATATGGTTTTTGTAGAGGTCAACCGTTTCTGCTATTGCAGTGACTCCTCTATATATTCAACATGCAAGCCAAAAGCGTCATTATACAAGATAACTGGAAAGAGGTGGCGCCCTTGTACATGAAATTTTGGTGGAGTGAGAAACCTCCATTGATGAAGTTATCTATAGCAAAATAGTGGAGAACAACAAAACAAGCTTTTTCAACACTCTTGTTTGGAAATTTTGAAGAACCCGCAACCGAAAACCCCATTTCCATATTCTCGCTTAGTTTGGATTTTTTAGGGAATTTTTGCTAAACAAAAAGTGAGAAAATCGGCGTACCCGCTCCAAAAGATCTGCATTGTTTACCGATTCCAAATTGGGAACAGGAGTCACAAAGAATCATGGATTTGGCGGACTGAGAACTCTAATTATGGGAGCAGGTAGCTTGAGATACGGGTCCTCGGACGGCGGCAGTATCTAGCTCGAGATACGAATTAGGATAGGCGATTAATGAATCAAACTATGTTGTGTGAAACAAGAACTGACATTGACTGTTTGGAGATTTTTTATAATAATTCTTGCAGGGCTAACTCTACCCCAAAGATATTTACATATAATACGGACTAAATCTAGAGTAGAGCTAAATTTAAGAGTATTATATAATTTTTTAGCCGTGATATAGCTATATCATTTTGTTAGGTTTTTTTCTTCTCTTTTGTTTTTTCTTTTTCGAAATATGTTTTTCTTTTTTTTTTCTTTTTGGTATTTTTTTTGGGTTTTTTGTTGGTTGCTTTCATTTGTTTTATAGCTGATTGTGTTGGGCTTAGGCTTGGTGAGCTTTTATTAGATAAGAACATATAGTCTTATTGATATATTACAGCATCATGTAGCAGTTCACTAAATTTAAATAAAAGCAGAATCACTTTAAAAAAAAAATAATAAGGCCTTCTGGCCTTTGAAAACAAAGAGTTCCCACTTTACATAATAATAAAAGTACCTAAGTCTCAAATAATAAACTACATACATTCATTTATTAACTACTTGCTAAATCTTACATGCTTCTTTTGTGTAGCACCAAGGTTTAATCGGTTATCCAGTTTCTGTAGAACAATTGACTATCTTTACAATGTATCAAATGTGCAGTACTGTATTATGCTACTGCTTCAAATAGATTTTATATTATTGATCAATCAAATATACAATAAAAAAACATATAGAAATAGGCTCATTATCATTAGCAGGTTCTAATCACAAGCATGCTTAAATCTGATCTACTAAAGTTTTCTTAATGGCCCAGACAAACCCAACACTTTGCAGTCTCTATAGCCAGGTCCGAGTACAAATATTCTTGATTAAATGATGGTTAACCAATTGTGTTACCAGGGAAGGAGACAATGCATTTGCAGATGTGAAGAGTCACAAAGAGGGTCAAAACCAGTATTAGATATATAATGTACTCAATGTTCTCAAGAACATTTAAAAAATTTGAGAATATTATTTTTAAAAATTAATTTCTCTTTTGAAAACCAACTAAGAAATAAAATTTATAATTTATGTTCTCATATGATATATAAAAAATATATAATTTCTCTTTTTTTTATATATTTTTTTTATTTTTTATTATTTAAGAACTTTAAAATATTTATAAGAATATAAAATTACTAATTTATGTTCTCAAAACACTAAAAAAAAGTTCCAGAAATTTAACACTAGTCGGGACAGATAGATTATAGAATCTCTTATGATACTTGCACTGTTATTGCACTGTTATTACATCCATGAAATATGAACATCACAACCAATGTTCTATGCTGCTGATGCAGCCGTGAAGCCTGCTATATATATTGAAAACCAAGACTCAATCCATTCATTGCTGGGGTGCTGAGAGTGATAATTGAACCAGTCTCTTCTAAGGTGAGCAATAGCAAATAA